ACGGAACCTCAACAACCCACCCATTCACTTATGAACCATGTGCAAGACACTTGCCATTAATATATGGTTCATGTGTTCACTTCCTATTTCCCTTAGAACTTACAATACTTCCCCCATGCCCATAGAGTGAAAAAGAATAATGGCAAGAACAGATTACAGCTCGGGAATATATATATATATTCTCGAGTTAGATGACAAAGCTGAGTTGGAAGGTACTTTATTGATCCTATCGAAGTACCTTGCAATCTTTTTTTCTGTTCCAGGAAAAGTCTTACTCGGGATGTAAGTCAAAGCCTTGAATGAGTTGTCTTCTCCCCAATCTGACTCTAGAAGGGTCAGCTTTTACTCCACTTTCATTTTCATATCAGGAACATCACTGCACTTTCAATATCGAATTTCATTTTTCGGAATCGTTGTTCTTGGCTCATATTCACATAGACAGCTTATAAGAATAAGATGTTCGACTCCGTAAAACACGTGTAATTCAAATATATATACAGTTTCTCTTTTTTGTTGATACATGAGAAGTATTCTTGTAGTGCTAAGATTTTCATGATCCTCTATGACTTTGATGTTTATCTTTTTTTACCATTTCTTGTTTTTGAGAGAATCAAACTAACAATAATGGTAATTCCTTTATGGATACTATACAAGGGTGGGCCTGGACCTAGTCTATTGCAAATCTATCTTTTCTGTGGAGCATACTTTTTCTGTATTTTGTTCACTGAATCAGTCAAGAGAGAGAACAACAAATAAAAAACATGTGGATCATTGAACAAGATGGCTTACTTTCCTACTCATAAAGAGTAAAAAGTTTAACACATAATTCAGGACAATAGCAGTGTACCCTTATAAGCCTCACAATTGTCTGATTTAATTGCTTGATTCACCTCCATAATTATGTACCACCAGTATGGCCTACAACTTACAAAACACTTTCATATTCTTGCACGGAGGAGCAGAATGTTTGAGAGAGATAAACAATAAATAGCCTTACCCTATTTTTGGAGAGACTGATTTCCGGACTCGAACGCATAATGTATCGCTTGGCAAGACTAGCACTTGCCATGTGCCTAGTTTTGTTAGTTGTCGTAAAAATTGAGTTGTTATAAAAAATTTTAAAAAAATTAAATATTAGTGTCAAACACTAATCATCTTAGCCTTTTGGATATGTTGATCATGATGCTGTTGTGGAGAGTGCTCTGACCACCTTTAAAAGGTTATGCACTTGCTGGTTTTTACAACCACAGCCATTGAAATCCCATAAGAGTGCATTTGACTAGATAAGTATTGGTTTCTTACATTGTTGTTGAGTTTCATTGCAGAGTTGAATTATTTGACCTGTTCTTTAAAGCTAAGCCACTACTTTTATAGTTTATTATGTTTATAATTTGATAAACCGCAATATCGATAACAGCTTTTGTGCAAAATCTTATCCCAGATAATTTAGTAGTGTTGGATTAATCCAAATGAGTCTCAAATGCTGCAAACATTAAGTATTTTATTAAGGTAAACATGTGGTCTTTAGCTTTTGTGGGCTTTGAGCATTTGTCAAAACTAAGATAATTTTGTTCCCCACACAGCGTGTTAGAAGGCAGGCCTTCGCAACGATAAGGTTGTTCAGGTCGAGTCATGAGAATAGTCTATTTGGACAGAGTGTAAAACTGTATACCTTTAATTCTTCCTAAACTCTGCAGCGGGCTGCTCTTTTGTATAGACAAGTGTTCCTTTTTAATTTGACAATCCTTGTTCTGAGAGTGTGTACATGCATTTCTTGAGTAGCTTTTACCTTTTACCATGATCTGGATATGCATCCACAGAGAAAGCAATTAAGTCTATTGCCATTGGGAATAACATCCACATAAGAATTTCTTGTCATTCAAACTTGAATGAGACAGAAAAGCTATATAAAACTTTTCACAGAAAAGAGTAATAATGATTGTTAATTCAGGATTTTTTTCCTCTTAAAAGTTGCTCCCCACCATGTACTTTTACTTGAAGTGCAGATTATCAGTTTGACAGATACATGTGATTTTAGCTTTGTTATAATGAAAACTCATTGTNTGACAGATACATGTGATTTTAGCTTTGTTATAATGAAAACTCATTCTAATGGCTAGATTTCAGGAGAATCTAAACTCTCATCAGGGTTATATTGCATTAGAAATTATTAGTCTCCCACACTAGTCACTATGCAGGTTTGCGTAACACACCAAACTTCATCAGTGGTGGATGACTTTCTACTGCATTATCTTGATTTAAGATGGTGTCACTAATTCACTTGCGTGGGATGGTTTTCTGTGTCATTTTGAGTTTTGGTTTGTGGGTATCGATAAAATTGTTTTACCTTGATATGGGTGTAACGTGATCGCATCACGGAAATCAGAAAATGGTCTGTCCAATATATGAGGACAAGACCTTATAAATCTAACGCTCCCAACTCCGCAATAAAGAAAATCTCATGCACTAAGCAGTCAGGGTTGCTCCTTTTTATGGTGCCATTATCTAAATGTTGGATTAGAGTACAGCAATTTCTGAGCACGTCGGAACATTTAATAATCACATGTTCATTAGGCCTATTAGTTGGGAGGCTAGTTGAAGCATAGGTGGAAATGGGTTGTGCAATGATTTACTATGGTTGATTCTATCCCTTCATCACTACCCGTAGATAATTTAAAATACTAAGTATAAAAGAGTAACAGCATTGAGAATTTAAAAAGTGATGTTAACATGTGTTATTGAATCATTTCACCGTTATATCATTAATTAAGTCAATAAATCAGATTAAATTTTAAAGATATAAAAAACAATGCTCTATATAAAAATCCGCATGTCTGATGGTGTCTTTTCTCAAGCAAATTCCTGGGTCTGGGGAGGACATGTAAAGCAAATCTGTCCCATTAAAACCATTCAATTTGCCTCAATTTTCCCTGTTTGAAATGCTTTTGGAATGGCTTAAACTTGTGATGGGGAAATAGACAGGACATAAAGATAAAAAGGGTTACAAATTATGCTAAAAAAAAAAAAGAAAACTAAGGGTATGAGAGAAAAGCAGGGAACAAAGAATAATGATTTTTGTCCTTCATCATCTGTAAAAAAAACTTTTACTGTTTTTGTCTTTTTTATCTTATAGGATCTTTAATTAGATATAAAGATTCTCATTTAATATATTTTAACAAGAGATTCTCGTTTAATATACTTTAAAAGATGCCCCCATCTTCAATTTTTTAAAGTTTTAGGAGATTTGAGCAAACAGAATCAATCCAATTATGGCCATTAGATTAGGGTTATGAATTGTGCTATATTATTTTATTTTGTTTTTGGTTCAATGGTGAGGGGTGTTTGAGTCAATTTACACGTATTTCGATTAATTATCTATCCGATCCGATTAAAGACAAGTCATCCATACCGAAACTAAAACATTTATAAAGAATAAGTCTCTCATCAAAGAAATTGTTTGTTTTGTAAACCGAGTATAGATGCACATGGAGTATTTGTTTTTGAAGTCCAATTATTCCCTTTTCTTTTTTTCTAATAGGGTTTGGGGGTGGGGGAGGGGGAGGGGGAGGGTTTATTTGGAATGTTTTGCTATGAGGGGCTAGAAGATATTCTAATACATAAGATTCTCATCTGTTTGAGGTTTAGCGTGATTAAATGTCACTACTATGGATGAAGATATTATTTTTATCTCTTGAACTTTTGATGTCCAAGTTATCATAAAATAACTTTACCACACGTCATGCCTGATACAAGGTAGTGTGAATAAAAAAACAAGATCAAACAACAAAAATTATAAGCGATTGATTATCATAATAATATAAGATTACAATCTTCAAGAGCTTTACTGATTCCTAAAAATACCAAGTCAATTAAGAATTCAAAGAGAATTCGTCTTTAAGTTTTATTCAAAATAAACCAAAACTGATGAATCAGTTTTCAACATAATATAAATAAGAAATCCTAATGGTTCTTAAATACCAAAAAAAAAAAACAAAAACGTAATATTATTAAAATACCCCAAATAGCAGGATAAAATAGAAAAATGCTTAAAAAAATACACTAAACATTATTTTTTTGGCTAAAAACCAATTAGGATGAAGCTTTCGATCTTGCTCAAATCGCCGAGTGCTTTCCGAAATGACGTCTTATGAAATTTTCTGACACTGTTGTCTAAAATTAGTTTTGATTAGTGTCCGATCAATACTGTTTTCAACGGTCTTAATCTGTCATATAATGTTCTGCTATTCGTGTGATGCATCAATGGCCATCACTCATATGTCTAGCAATTTCTATAATTCTCCTTAGTGGATAAAGATTTGTAACTCACCAATCTAATTATACTAAAAATCCAATTCATGGGTATGACTCCACTAAAATTGTGATTATTGGAGTTAGATTGAGAACATTGTAGTATTATGTGAACCAAGTGTCTATCGTAAGATTCTAATCACAATCTTGGGGTTAACTGGCCGAATTTTTACTACAAAACCGGTGCGATTATTTTAAGAGTCGGTGTTAAGTAACGTGTTTTTATCTTAGAAAGAAAAAATAGAAAAGAGTAATGCTAAATGGACTTAAAAACTAGACTTAAAAATTAAACTTGATAATTTCAACCATTGAATAGGTAGTAGGTCTAAATAAATGTTGGGATCTACAGTAAAATCAATGGTTGAGATTATCAAGTCTAATTTTTAAGTCTATTTTTTGAGTCCATGTAACATTGCTCAATAGAAAATCATAGCTACGATTATCTTGAACTATAAAAGAAAAAGATACATGGAAAGTGGGTATAGGAGTTTACCTGGGTCACAGACCACCCTTTTGACTTTTACCCACATCGTAAGGATTGGCATTGTCGTGGATGCTATTCCCTTATTGAGGACTAACACTGACATTTCAGTGGGAGGAATCAAAATTCATCACAATCATTGACAAGAAAAATTTTCCTTTTTCTCGGCTGTCAGTCACCCCACAAGAAAGATGAAATACTCCACTCAGCAAGGCAGTAAAAGGTTTTATTTTTCTCTATATAAGCAAGTACGTAACAAATCTGCCACACTCACCAAAATTCTCTGCCATCTTCACAGATAATTCTGTGTGGTGTGTGGTGTCTTCTCTACTTGTTTCTACTTTAGAAGTAGTAGTGCATACAGATGAGGATGGAACAAATAAAGCAAGGGGAATCAGTAGATGGAGATGAAGAGAAATGGGTGTATGATTCTTCTGTGGATCATAAAGGAAGAGTTCCTCTTCGAGCTTCCACTGGTGTATGGAAGGCCTCCCTCTTTATTATCGGTGAGAATTAGTTCCGTCATATACTACTTGCACATAACTTAGAGATTTAATTCATATGTTTTCTCCGATCCGTCTTGCCCAGTTTTTATATATGATTCTCAGTATGTTGTCTACACACCAGTGCCATGTAAACCATTGTTATGTAGCAGACAAGTGTTAGTGAAGATAAGCCCCATGAACCCTTTCGCCCAGGATTTTTCGCATGTGATTTGGATTTTGCTCCACTGTGACTTGTGTCACCGGTTTTTTTTTTTTTTTATTCAAGCTTAACCACTTATTTTAATGAAAAAAGGGTCAAGTAGAAACTTATAAACACACTCACACATCCAAAGCTATCCGATGTAAGATAACTCAGTCCCCACCTCCTTGGTACAATTACCATGACCGCAGGACACTAACGGCCCAAAAAAGAGAGATGGTTTCAGCCCACAACCGAGCTCCCACATAAGACGCCAAAGGCTTAAATAATTTGGATTTCTACCGAGATCTTGCTTCAGTAGAGTCGTCTACTGACATGTACACAAAATTGTGCAGGTTAAGTGCAAAGTTATTATGTATAACATGTCTGATTTAGCTTTTGTGTCTTTCTTTGATGTTCAATTCATAGTCGACCTAAGTGGTTAGGATAAGATTTTATTGAGTTGATATTAATTGAACTTTGAAATTAAGGAGGATAATTATCAGGCCGTATCATAATGAAGATATATAGTCAAGATAGAGACATCAGAGGAATGTTTGTTCTTTAATTTTAAAGAATCAAAGTAGTCACCCTTTTCACGAGCCCTGGCCTTTTTTGTTTTTTTGACCAGCACTATCCATGGCCGTCTACAAGGTATATCACCAAGTGCTGCATGACATCACTCTTCACCATACACAGTTGATTTTATTTTTTTTTATTCGACGGTTAAAAATGTCTGAATCAATTTACGCATACCTTAATTAATTGTCTCTCAATACATAGACAACTAATTATAAATTAAGGAAGGCTATCAGAATTGTTGCTGAAAAACTTTACCAAAAGTAAATATATTTTAAAATGACACATTTTTAAACCAAATAAGAAACTGGTTGTGTTCGTCAATAGTGTTAAGACACAAATTACCTATTACTATTGTTAAAAATAAGCATTTTTTTTTAATATTTGCATCTAATAAATCATTTTAAACTTAAACAGTTTTTCTAGATACAAGCAAATATATATTATCCCGAATAACACGAAGATGACACAACTGGAACCTTGAAACCCCTAATAGCTATCTTGTGTTATTTTTCTTGGTAATTACACCCATATTTCATGATTTTGTGGATTGCTAAGAAAATTTTGTGACTATAAATCTATTTGGTGCAGCAATCGAATTCAGTGAGAGGTTGAGTTACTTTGGAATAGCAACAAGTTTGATCATATACCTCACTAAGGTGATCCATCAAGACCTCAAAACAGCTGCAAAGAACGTCAACTACTGGTCTGGAGTAACCACTTTGATGCCATTGGTGGGAGGGTTCTTAGCTGATGCTTACATGGGTCGATTCTCCATGGTTCTCCTATCATCCTTTGTCTACCTCTTGGTATATCCTCTATTTTCTGCACCTTTTTACAGAAAGCTAGTATAGTAAAATTTCTCCTTCTTTTTTTTAGGTTTAACTGTCAGGAGCGTTCAGATTAGTTTATGTATATATTGACTAATCCTATATGATATTAGAGCTTTGAGTCTATGTGGATTCAAATCATCTACGTGAGTGTATAATTCCGCGTATGTCAGTGAGAGACCACATTTGTGCAGAATAGGTCACTCTTGAATTTGCCATAAATGATCTGTCCAACGGGCATTGCTGGGCTAGTCTGTTAAAAAGCCAAACGGGCCTCAGATTGTGTGTTGGACTTTTAGCAGGCTATGTATCTAGCCAAAAATAATTGTCTATTGCCCTATCTTACGAGTTACCCATATGGTGGGCCGGACCGGTTTGTACTCCAATGGGCCACCGGACTAATGGCACCGCAAAATCAATAAAAATAAAAGTATCATAGATATCGGTACGAGTTACTCGAATCGTATTTAATTTGGCACCTTTCGAGACGGTGTCATTAGATAATATATATAGTCTAGTTGTCTTTAAATCAATCCCAAATTGTCGAGTTAACGTCATCGAATCGATCAATACAGATTCACGATGTCGCGATATAACTTGAATCTTTTCTCATATTTAATATTTTATTTTATGTTATATCATCTGATACCGCGTCGTAATACTATAACCGATGTGTCTTAGAGTCCTTCGAACCTTGAATCATGATTAAGACATAAAATTTAACTCAATTTGTTAATCTAATGATTTGTCAACCGATAGAATTCAAATCTATATTTGATATTAACTGAAGTTTTATGTATACCATTTATGTGGAATTCAGGGTTTGATCCTCTTAACAATGTCCAGAATGCTCCCCGAACTGAGACCTTGTGCCACTGACCCCTGTCCCAAACCTAGAGAAATCCATGAAGTGGTCTTCTTCTTGGCAATCTACCTGATCTCAATAGGAACCGGAGGCCATAAACCCTCTTTAGAGAGCTTCGGAGCCGACCAATTCGACGATGATCACGCCGGAGAGAGAAGGAAAAAGATGTCTTTTTTCAACTGGTGGAACTGTGGCCTCTGTTCTGGACTATTACTTGGTGTGACTGTGATTGTTTATGTGCAAGACCATGTCAGTTGGGGTATTGCAGACACCATACTTACAGCATCAATGGCTTCTTCAATAGTGATTTTTTTTGTTGGAAGGCCGTTCTATCGGTATCGGTCAGCGGCAGGGAGTCCATTAACACCACTGCTACAGGTTCTGGTAGCAGCTGTTGCCAAAAGGAAACTACAATTTCCTTCTGATCATACTGAATTGTATGAGGTTCCCAAGTCTGAGAAGAACCAAGGCAGGCTCTTATGCCACACCGACAACCTCAAGTAAGCAAGTTAACATGTCAAGTCCATAATTCTCTTTCATAATCAAGTGTTAATCAAAGTGAGCTCATCATGGTTGACGATGCTCTAAATTTAGTCTATTTGTGATTCATCAAGCTCAATTGTCGAGTTTAAACTTGTCCCGGTTGAACCGAGCTAAAAAGGAGTTGACCAGCATTTGAGCCCGACTCTTCAAATCGAGTCGAGCTAAGTTTAGATTCGACTGGTTAATAAAAACCATTTTATTTATTGTGGTGTGGGTGGAATTTAGAAATAGGAAAAAATATATTTTGAATCCTTAAAATACTCCGTTTAGTATTTATTTGGTCCACAATCTTTCAATTGTATTTATTTGATTCCTAATGTTCTTCATTTAAATCTACATTGTCCAATTTTAAATGTCCGTAAAAAAATCGTAACAATTTTGATCATGCACCAATCACGTGGTTCCTAATTTTGTATCTATTTGGTCTCACGTGATTAGCACGTGATCAGAAGTATTAACGATTTTTTGACGGGCGTTTGAAATTAGATCACATAAATATAAATTATGAATCCTAGGGACCAAAGAGATATAATTAAAAGCTCGAGGAGCAAATAAACACTATACACATATTTTAGAGGCTAAAAATATATTTTACCTTTAAAAATATGATCAGATTCGATTCACTTTATAATTTGAGCGAGCCCGACTAAGCTAAAAATGATCGAGCCCAAGTCAACTCCACCTGGTTCATGCTAATTTTTTTATTTTTTTGGTCATTTAACATGCTATTCATAAGCCTATTTTACTAAATTATTTTGATTTGTTAAAGATGAATGTACTAAATTATTTTATTAAATTATATGCACCAACTTGTTTCAGATTTCTGGACAAGGCTGCAATTATTGAAGACAAACAGGTTTCAGGGAAGAGTCAACAAAATCCATGGAGACTAGCAACAGTGACGAAGGTCGAAGAGATGAAGCTCATCATCAACATGATTCCCATATGGTTAACTTCATTGCCATTCGGCATCTGTGTGGCACAAGCCTCCACTTTCTTCATCAAACAAAGCACCACCCTAAACCGCAACATCACCCACAATTTTCTTCTCCCGGCAGCCTCAGTCTACTCATTCGCCGCCTTCGGAATGATTGTCTCCGTCACCATTTACGACAAAATCCTCGTACCCATGTTGAGAAGAGCAACAGGCAACGAAAGAGGCATCAAAATTCTCCAGAGGATCGGTATCGGAATGATCTTCTCAGTGGCAACCATGGTGGTTGCAGCCCTAGTTGAAAGAAAGAGACTCGCAGTCGTCGAGAACGATCCACTGAAACGATCAATCTCCATGAGTGTGTTTTGGTTAGCTCCACAGTTCATAATAATTGGTATAGGCGATGGATTCACTCTAGTTGGCTTGCAAGAGTACTTCTATGACCAAGTACCAGATTCCATGAGAAGCTTAGGTACGTTTCATAGCCTTTTGATTTCTAACTATTTTTTTAAGTAGCGTTTGTCAGTAACGACCGACTTATGAAGTTATATTAGTGTCTCAATAACGTACCAAAATACATTTGGATCACTTTTGCTATATAGTAATTAAGCGTTTGTTTTAGGTATTGCGCTGTACCTGAGTGTGATCGGAGCTGCAAACTTCCTGAGCAGCCTGTTGATAATCCTAGTGGATCACGTGACGGAGAAGGGTGGCCGGAGTTGGTTCGGGAAGACCTTGAACAGTAGCCGACTGGACAATTTCTACTGGTTGTTAGCGGCCATCACCACCGTGAACTTGATGGTCTATGTGTTTATCGCTCGACGTTACTCTTACAAGAATGTGCAGAGAAGGGCTGCTGTGACTGTGGCTGATTGCTATGAAGGTGAAGGTGAAGGTGTTGTTGCCATGGCTTAGTACATACATCGTACAGAATGGTTCCAGCATTATGTTCTAATGAAGAAGAACAAAAAGGGCATGACATTTGTACTTGGATTTAGTAGTATGTATTCCAATAATTATTTTAAACATCGTTCGAGTATTATATCTCATATCTAGTTTATTATAAATCACTCCCCTTAAAGCTAATTGATCCGGGCATGGTCGAGACTATTCAATCTTACTAAATATTGGTGAAATAAGGTATTTTCCATCTTAGATTGAACATTTGATTTCAATCTCCATACACTGCTTTACAACTCACAGCCAATGCCCCTTGAACTTAAGGAAAAAATATATCAGGAAAAAAAAAAATAACAAACCAGCCTGTTTAGTTTAGTTTGCATTTCAAAAACAATATCAAAAAATTATTTTTGATAAAATTTTTAAGAAAGTGTTTTTAAAAATTTTTAGATTGTAAAACCTATTTAATTATATATTTTTAAAAATAATTTTAAATAACAAAAATTATAAAATTTATTTGAACAATAATACTCAATTCTCACCCCCTCTCTTTCTTTCCCCTCTCTCTGTCTCCACAAAACACACTCACACACGCGCGCGCGCACACACACACACAGAGACGCAAACATAGATATATACAAAGATACACACAAATTGTGTATATATGTAGTTTTATTTGTTGAGAGAGAGAGAAAGAGATCTGAGTGTTCATTCTATTTGTTAACTAGAGAAGACGAGCTTGTGTGAAAAGTGGAGGGAGAGAGCTGATGAAGACGAGCCTATGTGAAAAATGGAGGGAGAGAGTTGAAGAAGACGACCCTGTGTGAAAAATGGAGAGAGAGACCTAAAGAAGACGAGCCACAGGTGTGTTTGTTCTATTTGATGGGCAAAGTGGAGAGAGAAAAAGAGAGGGAATGAAAAAAAAATGAAACCTATACATACTAGGAATAGTTTTTCTCTCGAAGGGCAAACCTCATTAAAATTTGAAAAGTCTCCATGTTTTCAAAATTGTTGGCATAAAAGTCTGAAAACAAGTGTCTTGTTTTCTATTTTTTTTGGCTCAAATTCTCTTTTTTTTTTTCTGAAAAATTTGAGAACAAGAACCTAAGTATTTTGACGTATTTTTGCTTATGGACTTTTCAGATCATTCCAAAACAAAAGAGGGTAGCGTCGAAAAACAGCAAATAATGAGTCCACCATGTAAAGGCAAAAATTATGGTATTGTTATCGTATTATAAATTATAATTTTTAATGTACAAGTTATAATTTTGTAAAGTCATGATCAATCTTAAAATATTACGATCGATCTTAAAAAGTATAAATTTTAAAAATCGAATTACAATTAATTAAAAGAGTCTCGTCATCGGTCATCAATTTTTAAAATGTAACTTTGCTATTAAAAATAATAATTTTTTATACAATTTGAGTTGATAGGATGAGATCAGATGGTGGCCCCAACTTCTAAAGTACGCTTATTATTCCTTTATCCCTTTTCACTTTTCTTTGGTCGACATCCACACATGCCATGCTACCCACGCCCTCAAGAAAAATCCAAACACTTTAATTAATATAGCAACCCAAATTCCCGACGTAAGCATTTTGTTATTTTGTCTTTGTGCAGTACATTGTAAAATCAAGAACCACACGTAAACATGACATAAATCTAAAATAAAATTGGTATGCTATAGTAACTGCCTAATTTTTAATATGGATTTAAAAATAACATGATTTATTCTTTTTTTTATTTTCAACGTTTTGGGGTGTCGAAATCAACTTACGCAGACCTCGACTAATTTTCTCCTCAGTCCGATTAAAGACAAGTCATTCACGCAACGATTAAGATATTCATTAGAGATAAATCTCTCGTACCTTGAATTCAAATTCAAGATACTTAAATTTATAATTCGTCTCTATTACCACTTAAATTACCTCTTTAAATTTTGTTCACATGAATGATAAGTGGATCGTACTATTGTCAAATATTAGTTACAATCATTTTTGACATGATAAATCTATTTAATATATATATATATATGAATGATATCTGATGATGTCTCGAAAATTATGGCCCAAGTCCAGTTGTGGACAGGAAGTTGATGAGTTTTATTTAGGTGGTGAGAACTGAGAGATAGCCTAATCAGTAGGGAGAGGCACATGTGTTAAGTGGTTCACCCCAACTGGCAGACTGAGGTTACATCTACTGTAATGGAGTCTCTTACACCTTGAGCTTGTATATTGATTCCTTTATTTAAGGTAAGTAGCCCTACAGGCGCTAGGCCATTACAGGAAATTATATTCTAACTCATACATTCTTCGGTGTTCGAACGCCTCGGAGGGGTTCCCATCGGCTCCTCTTATCTGCTTGTTGATTCTGTGGGGACCTTCCATCCTTGCCCTGCAAGTAAAGCCCTGCCAGCCGGCGTTACTGTATCCACTGTGTCTGGGTCGTTACGCACCACCACTCCCTACAGGTAGGTGTGACTGTCATAGGTTTCAGAGATAGTCCCCTTGTCCTTTTGGGACGCGTGGCGTGGTGGAATGTGTCTAAGGTTAGGGTTTGACTTCTCCTTCTCTGGCTATTTTTTGGCTAGGGCCGGACTGCCGGTCCTTTTGGGCTTTGCTTCTTGATACAGGCTGGCTAAGTATGCTTCCCTTGGGCCAACAGGCGAAGCAGAATGCTCTGGGCTCATTGGGCTCCACAGCCATAACGGCCCATACTTAAAATCTGTCCCCATCAGTTGCCCCCCAGCCCTTAGTCACGATGATGACGTCATCTCTGACCTGCGGTTAGAAAATGCCAGATCTGACTCTATTTCTTTATGCAGCGAAACTACCTGGCAACCGGGTTTGACTCGATTTTGGGCTGGGTTGATGTCTGTCGGTTATGGTGGTACACGTGTCGCCAGCGAATGAACTCGATGGGACGATTTCCTTAGCGTGTCCTGTCATCAATCTCGTCACGGCTTAAATGCTGCGTATAAAGGGAAATCTTTTTTTGCCTTTCCAAGTTTCGTGCCCTTTGAAATTCTCTCTCGTGTCTTCTTTCTTCCTTTCGATCTCCGAGGCATCTCGTTCTAGACCTCTTGGTGACTTAGAACATCTTCATCTCCGATTCTCTTCTACTTCTAGCGCTTCACTAGGTACATCTTTCTTTCTTTTCTTTACTCCTTCGACCTGGATCCATTCAACCCTCCTTGGTGGGGCTTTGGATTTCGTTTTCTGATCTGGAGGTTTAGCTACTTTAGAGAACATTCTGACGACCTCTCTTCCCTATCATGGTTCGTAGATCACCTTTCCGCATCACGGGTACTCTTCTTTAGAGCTTGGTGTTTGAAACCTCTGTTTTAATAGATTGCGCCTTGCATCTGCCCTCTCTTAATTCCAGTTTGCAATCTGAGCTTTTGATGGGGAAATTCGTTGTTTCTTCTAAGTCGGAGTTTGTTGGCAAGGGGACTGAGGGGGCCTCAACGGCTTCTTCTAGCGGTCGTTCCTCTTTTGCTGGTGATGAGGCTTTGGGGTCTGTCCCTGGAGTTTCATCTTCGGCGCCTCCGGTAGATGTCGATCCTCTTTCCACTTTGCCTCCCCATCCTTGCGCTCAATCGAGGAAGAGGGAGTCTAGGGTTGCGCCACCCTCTATTCCCAAGAAGAGGCCTTGACGTGACCTGTCCAACCTGTCCTGCTGTGAGGAGGATACCTCCAACTGTCTTGACAAGGAAAACCTGGAGGATATGAGGCAGGAGTACCGCTTCCCTTATTCTATATCTTTGCACCCCCCCGCAAGAAGCACGAAAGGTGTAATTCCTCTATCTCGGGCTTGATCTGCTTCTACAAGTCCGCGTTTTGGGCCGGCCTTCGTTTTTCCATTCATTCTTTCATTCGGGACGTCCTTGCCTTTTACAATGTCTGTCCAGCTAGGCTCTCTCCTAATGGCTAGGGCCTTTTAATCGATTTTCTTGTCCACTGGTTTGAGAGTGGAAATGACTCCCCCCCTTTCATCTCAGAAATCGGCTTCCTATTCCAGCTTAAGTCTTCTCCTTTCTTGGACTTTTTATATTTCGCTAAGAGGGTAAAAGCAAAGAATCTGATTTTTGGACTCCCTTCTTCTAACAAGGGGTGGAAACCTAAGTTCTTCTTTGTTAGGGGGAACTCCTGGGAGCTGTCTGGGGAGCCTGGTGACGTCCCTCGAATCCCCAGGACGTGTGGAATTCTGAGGAATATCAGTAAGGCCAATTAGCTGGCTACGTTTTCTCTTCTGTTTTGCTTCTAATTTTCACATTTTTACTTACTCTAGCTTGTCTTGCAGATTTTCGTCCTATTCTAAACGCAAAGGAGGCTGTCTGAGTCGCCAAGGCTGAGGTCTTTGGGTTGCAATTCTTTTCCGATCTGGTGACTGACGAGAAACTTACTAAGCACGAGCTTGGTCTGCCGGTCAATCTTCCATTAGGGATAACATCTTTGCCTACCCCTCAAACTGAGACTATGGACCCCCAGCTTGATCATGTCAGTTTTCTTGGACTCTCAGCAGTCGAGGAAGAGGAGGAAACTGGCAAAGGGGGGGGCGACCACCCCCCAAGGTGGCATCGGTGTCTGGGTCCGATGTCGCTTCTCTAGAACAAGAATGCGAGGACCCTGCCTCCGTCGAGCCAGCCTCCTCGCCCTCGCTGTCCACTGATCACCCCGAGAGTAATATTCCTCCTGAAGTACCTCCGACGGGGCTGCCTGGGCCTTCTGTGGCCTCACCCATTCCTTCTCGGCCTAGGCCTGTCTCTTCGCGAGGCCGCAAGGGGGAAAACGTCCCTTTCTCCTCCAAGCCACACAGGAGCGATTTTTCTTTGTGACCCTGAGACTGTTGTGGCCGCTTTGTCCAAGTTGATCTCTATGTCGAATCCCAAGTTGGCCATGCAGGTTCCTTTTGAAGGAAAAGTGTGGCATGCCATCTAGAGCCTGGCCGAGGTACTCTTCTCTCTTCTTCTTTTTTTGAGCTTTCTTCAACCTCTAGGTGCTCTTAGTCGTTTGTTGCACTCGCTGACCCCTTTTTCTTTTCAGGTCCTCGCCTGCGTGAAGATGATGGATTTCCATCATGGGCAGGAGCTTGCAAAGGTCTAGGAGCCTCTTGACGCCGTGACGGCCGCTAAGGAGGCGACTAAGGATAAAATGAAAATCCTATCAGCCGAGGCGATCG